GCCTGGAGCGCGGCGGACACTCACCCTCCACTAGCAGCTGCAGCAGGAAAAGAGAGAACGGGGTTTCCGAGCCACGCCTCAGGGGCCGCCTGCCGCAAAGTGCGACCGCACTTCCGCTTCGCGACGGCCGCGACCTCGCTCCACGGCTGCACGCGCGGCTCGCAAGCGCCGGGGCGGGGCGGCAACCTCCAAAGGCCCCGCCCCGTTACGTCAGAGTGAGACGGGTGGGGCCCCGGCTGCACCAGCAGTGAAGCGAGGGGAGCCCCGCCCCGCACGAAATGGGGCCGCGGGCGCGCGAGCCGCGTTTGCCCCGCCGCCGTCGGGGCCCTGCGCTCGGCCTGGGCTGCCGCCTGGGGCTGCTTGCTAAGAGGTTGCCTAGCTGCTCATACTTGCTTCACCAGGTTTTGAGCTGGGAACCTTTTGCTTGTGAGGTGAATGTGATAACCACGTTACAGCGTGCACAAAAGTGCAGAAGCTGTGCTTTTTGCCCAAAATTTTGCACACTAAGAACTGCCAGAGCAGCTGCTTTTAAGCCTCTCGCTTTGCACGTTCTTGCATCCCTTTGCCCACAAGACATCAACGAAGCTCTGTGCAGGTTCAGAGGATCCATCTGCATTGAACTTTTGGCATGATCTGAGTTTTGCCTCATCTCTCATGTACAAGAGCATGGGATCCACCCAGGAATACCGCATCTTGTGTGGGCCTGAATATTTTAAATTGAAGATGGAATATTGCATGGAGCCGCCCCTGCCAACAACACTAATCATGTGGGGAATCCACTTCTGTATTAAAAGATACTGATACTCTTGAACAGATGTTGAATGATAAATATATGTCTATATTTTATATAGACAAGTGTAACGTCTTTAAACAGCCTCCCACCCCTATGATCTCTAGTATTAAGCATGGACAGCTGAACAATTTGAGTCAGTTGCGCAGAGATTTAAACATGTACTTAGCTTTATGCACCAAGTAGTTAATTCCATTGAAGTAAATGGTTCTATTCACAGTTTAAAAAGATATGCTCATATTTAAACTTGTGTATTATTGAGGCCTCAAATGTGAACTTCAAACATTTGTTAAGTGTTTAACCTTAACTCCATATACAAACCTGAGCTTAAGTATCAGGTATGCTATTAAATAACACTGTCTAATCATATTGCTAACAACTTCTCCTTGTTTTGTTTTCTTAGATTCTGCAATATTCATCCCTGCCCAGGTACTCAGCTGCTACAAGTTTCACCTAAAATCTAGAAAATTCATGCTGTAGATGCAGTGCATAAAGTTGACTATATACCTTTCCATTTTCTAGTAGCAACGTATAGAGGTGATGAGCTTAGTTGTACATTTCTAATCCATTTAATAACTCCCCCACCGCCAACCCGGCAGATTTTAGAAACCATTTAATTTTTAAGTCTTATACTGCAGGATCAGATATGTATCATTACAGAGGTCAGTTCCAGCTGCCATAACGGCCATAGCAGAAGCGTTCATGTCATGGCCCCTGTCAGATTCCAACAAATCTGCTAAATAACTTGTTATCAGCAGCCTCAGACGTGCACGATTCTGAAAGAAAGTCTACTTTATGACAAGGACATAAGGAGAAGAAGGGAAAGAAAATAGGTCACAGGATTATAGGAAAGCAAGGGGCTGGGGTGGTGTGGGCAGTAAAGTGCACAATGGACAGCCCAGACGTTGCAAGTCTGAGGCCATAGCAGAAGCACTCAATCAGCAGCACCGTAAGATTCCAACAAATCTGCAAATTCTGCTCAATACCTTATCACAAGGACACGAAAAAGGAAAGGATAGGAAAGTAAGGCTGGAAGATACCTCATGAAAGAGCTGGTAATAAATTGTTAATGAGATGATATAATTAATGACAAAGGCCCCCCTAATTGATTAACAATATAGATGTTAAGACTCCCCAAGAAAAGGGGTGGTCACCCCAAAGTTGTGTTTGCCAAGCTGATCAGTGGTTTAAAATGCTGGAGATGTCCGGCTTGGTTTGTTGGCTGAATATCCAAGAGCCACAGACACAGTGTTAAAAGATAAACAAACTGGTTATTATTAAGGTACTGAATAAAAGTATGCAGAAATATGAGCGACAAGGAAGGAAAGACAGCTGGTGAGGAAGGGTGATACTTTACCAAAAACACTGCAGACGGAAGGGAGCAATCCTTTGTGGGCAGTCACCTTGTCTGCCAGCTGTGGCGCTGCTGCCAAGCAAGTAGGCAGAAACTCAAGCTGACACAGACACTCAATGACCCTTTCACTGCCACAGAACACCACAGATGACAATATAAAAGACAAGGACAACTCAAAGAGAAGATCCTCGAACTCACAGTTCTATTCACACAGATCTCAGAAAACACAGATACTCAGAGGGAGAGAGCCTGTTCACTCAATCTCTCCTCAATGACCAAGTCTCAGGAGCTAGAGACCTTCGACAACAGGCATCACGCACACCCACGAATCTGTCCTGGCACATTGCCAAAGCGCTGGTCAGGACCTTTTATACTAGCCAGTCACCCCACTCCAACCAATTAATATTCTCTCACACTTGTCAATCATTCCAATTATACACTCGATACATTTCTCATCCGTTTTTCCAATCACCTTCCAGCATACCTCAGCAAAGTAGCTGCTACTCACATGACACTTTCCTGCCAATCATAATGGGAAAATGCACATGTTCGATGTGAAGTTACTAGGCAAATTTCACCCAACAGTCAAAAGTTCACCTTATTCTTGTACCTTCTGAATATCAAAATAACTGCATGCCTTGCCATATTAAACTTAATGGTGCATGTGTAACTCTTCTATAACAAACAATAACAATAAGAACTGAAAACCAGAGGTCTACAAAATTGCCCTTCTCTTCTCCAGGGTAAAAAACCCTAGTTCTTTCAGCCTGTCCTCATAACTCTTGCTTCCCAAGCCCCTACATTTTTCTTGATTTTAAAGAGTGCTGGATGCTTTCCAAACTGTCCGTATCTTCCTTGAAGCGTGGGGCCCAAAACTGGACACAGTACTCCAGGTGAAGCCCCCACCAGTGCTGAACAGAGTGGAAGAATCACTTCCCTTGATTTGCAGGCGCCACTCCTTTTAATACAACGCAGGTTGCTGTTGGTTCCTATTCAGTTTGTGATCCATTAACCACTGGGTCCTTCTCTGCAGTACTGCAAATGAGCCAGTTATTCTGCTGTCTGTATTTGGGCATGCAGTTATTCCATCCCAGGTGCAGGGCTTTGCACTTGTCTTTATTGAATCTCATCTGGTTGATTGTGGATTATTTTTGCAGTCTAGCCAGGTCATTCTGGATCCTAGCCCTGCCCTCTAGGGTTTTTGTCACTGCCCAACTTGAAGTTATCTGCATATTTGCTAAGCATGCACTCAGTTCCATCATGCAAATCACTAATGAAGATTTAACAGAATACTGGACAGATCACTGGGGCACCCCAATTAATACCTCTTCCCAACTAGATAGTGAAACATTGATGACTACCCATTCAGTATAAATATTCAGCCAGTTACATAGTCACCTTACAGTACTTTAGTCTGTATTTCCTTATCTTGTCAATGAGGCTATCATGGGAGACAGTGCCAAAAGTCTGCTAAAGTCAAAGGTATACCACCACATCCGTTCCTCACCCTTCATCCACAGCACCCGTCGCTTTATCATAGAATGCCATAAATAGCCACATACATAGAGATCACAAAAATAATGTTCCCAGCAAGAAAAACATAGAAGAAAACATAGATAAATAACAAGGGAGAGGGATTTTTGGGTTAAAAAGGTGCTCTCTGAAACTGTAACCCAGGTGGTACTCAGAGATGTACCCCCTTCTCCAATTGAAGGGATCAGAGCGGATGCCAGAGCGCTGTGGGAGGCATAACTGTCTGAGGTGCACAGCTCCCCTCCTCCCCCTACAGAGCAAAGACAGAACACTTGTTGAGACTTAATTATATATACAATTTAATAAAATAGGGAAGAGCCAGGACATAATATATACATTAGAAATATAGGGACTATAGGAATATAGGTACAGCTGATTGCAAACCCTCCAGATACCTAGGAGGGATCAGGGAAGCAGAAAGGTTCAACAACAGTTATGCATACTTATAATCTAGAAAGGAGGTCAAGTGACAAAGCATGAGGCACAGAAAGGCACAAGGTTTAAGGTGCAGAATCCCTGCACCCGGGAGGGGGGGAAAGAAGGTAAATGTAATTCACCTCCCCAGTGGGGGATTTACTTCTTTCCAAGAACTCATCCCTCTGGTGCCTTGGCCAAGAACTAAACCTAAGTTTTCTACATAGCAGGTAAGGATGCTACCACTGAGCCACCAATGCCCAAGCTATCTTCTGCAGCTCTGGGGCTTCAGTCTCTCCAGGACCCTCTGTGTATCACCTTTGTGCCAAGCTGCCAGGCCTTCCGCTGGGGTTTGGAGACTTGAGCTGCCACCTGTGGCTCAGGGGGGGGCTTTAGTCCCTCTGGGACCCTTCATGCACAGTCTGCGCATCGAGTTGCCCAGCCTCCTGCTAGGGGTCGAAGACCCAAGCAGCCGCTGGTGGTTCAGGGGGTTTTCAGT